GTTGACTCTGGGTCCGTTGATTGGTGCTATCGCCGCCGGTTGTACTGTGGTGGTCAAGCCTAGTGAAAAGTCCTCTCACAGCGCATCGGTGATCCAGCGGATCATCGAGGCGGCGCTCGATCCGGAGGCGTACACCGTGGTGCAGGGCGGAGTCCCGGAAACTCAGGCGCTCCTTGCGGAGCGGTGGGATAAGATCTTCTTCACCGGTAGTGCGAATGTCGGCCGAATCATCTGCAAGGCAGCTGCGCCCCATATGACCCCCGTCGTGTTGGAGCTGGGCGGTCGCAACCCCGCGATCATTTCTAAGAATGCTGATCCCAAGCTGGTGGCGCGTCGCATGCTGTGGGGAAAGGTCACGAATGCCGGACAGCTCTGTACGTCGCAGAACTATATGCTTGTGGAGAAACCCATCCTGCCGGCGGTGGTGGATGAGTTTAAGAAGGCCTACAGCGAGTTCTTCCCGCAGGGAGCCAAGACCTCCCCTGACCTCAGTCGCATCATTGATGATGCTTCGTTCCAGCGGATCAAAAGGATGATCGATAACACCAAGGGCAAGATCCTTCTGGGAGGAACGATGGATGAGAAGGAGCGCTTCATCGAGCCCACGCTCATCCAGATCGACTCGGTCGATGACTCCCTGGTCGCCGAGGAGAGCTTCGGTCCCCTGTTGACCATTCTTCCCGTCGACAGCATCGATGAGGCGATCAAGATCGCCAACGGCGTGCAGTCTACGCCTTTGGCTCTCTACCCATTCGGCACCAAGGCCGAAGCCGAGAAGAGTATGTGATCTTCTTCCCTTTCTCTTCCGGGAATCACCCAGCCACCCAAGTTAACCTCTCTTTCGTTTAGTTCTCTCCCAGACCCGCTCCGGCGGTGTCGCCATCAACGACGCCGCGCTGCACATCCCCACTCTCGAATTCGGCGGTGTGGGCGAGAGTGGCAGCGGATCTTACCGTGGCAAGGCCAGCTTCGACGTCTTCGTACACCGCCGCACCATCACCACCAGCCCGGGCTGGATCGAATCCGCGCTGGCCGTCCGCTACCCACCCTTCGGCAAGAAGCAGGAATTCTTCATCAAGGCTGGTAGCCTGACGCCGGACTTTGATCGCAACGGACAGAAGCTCCGACTCGGCTGGCTCCGCTATCTCTTCACTCTCGGCGGTGGATCTGTCAAGTCCGGCGTCACTCGTGCCACCATTGTTGCTGCGGGTGAGTGATAATTTTCTTACTTGTCTTTCCCACTTATCAGTGTTATCTTTTTGGATTTGTTGCCCCATGCACCATCCCGGTTCGCACGCAGTCTTCTTACTGTCCGCATCACCATCGGCAGAATAAGGGTCGACTCGTAAACTCCCGAGTCTGCATTGGAATCGAACCGATACTATCGGCCTGCGTTCATTGATCTCACTCACGTGTTCGATTTCAACCCTCGCGCCCTGGTGGTTGTCCGCATACCCTTTTTAACCGGTGTCACATGATCTAATATCCTGCCTTAACTCCCTCTGACATCTATTGTCTAATTTTTAATCCTTTATCCACAACTCTGGACACTTTTGAACCACAAAGAAACACAGAATGTCAGCCAAACCATATATACTTACCATATACTATCTCCAGTGGCATACCTCGCACTCCAGCTCCTCGACCGCCGAGGTTCCAAGCTATGAAGAAACCCCTCCGATGATTGTCAAAGTAACAATCTGATGTTTGATTTACTGGATATTTCTTGGTTCGGTGCATTGATTTCCGGGTGATTCTTTTCTAATATTCGAATTCCTTTGGATTTCCAGCTGGCGCGTTTGTGCTTTGGTTTGTGCCTTAAAAGTGTTGGGGGCGGGGGTCCTATGTTTATGATTATGTATACTATAATTTGTGCCCGGCGGCATTTTGAGGGGCTGGGGGCTGTGTTCTGTGCTGAAGGAGAAAGGGATATATACCATTTAACTCGGTGGTGGGGGTTACCTACCTATGTAGCTAGCAGGCTAGCTAGCCGGTGAGACAAATTTGAAGTATGATCATGATTTTTTCCGGCGTCATGTTCAAAATGTAGGCGTCTACATTTTTATGAATCGTTTTTTTATTAGTCATGCATCTACTCAAGAATAAAGGCCAAATTCCGGCGTTCTTGGTTCCAGTGGATTCGAATGTCTATTTATCATCATTGCATGCATGTCACGTCACATCCCAGATCTCGTATCAAGATAGTTAGTAGTGGTGGTCGTCAAGAGAAGCAAAACCCGTAGGGTTGCACAAATAATACCTAGGTTTTGAAGTAAATGGTCTATGAGCCAGAAATTGGAAAGAGATGTCGGGAAAGACTTGAGATGTGACAGGGTTAAGCAAAAAGAAAATTTCCGGGGGGTGCGGGGATACATGAGCAACCCGACCATATACAGTAACGTGGTTGTGGCAGGCTAAATATTTTTTGAGATATAGAGAAGGATATGTTAGGGGATGCCTGGGAGGTGCGTGATGGGTGATGTGCATCCACGGGGAGAGGAGTGAGGAACGGGGATGACTTCTGGCTCCGGATTCTCACTGAACCCCGAAGCCTGAGACCCGCTAACACCTCCTCTCCACGCCCTTTTGGCTCACGCAGAGGTATTTGACCCCCTTGTATGGCTTGACGCCTTCGCCGAGCCCGCGGCTTTTCCGCGGGTCGATGTTGAGACTGTCGACTTTGAGACCGGAGGGGAGCCAGCCGCGCACGGAGAAGGAGACCGAGGCGGAGGTGGGCATGAGTATGGCATTGAGTTGAGTTTTGGTCTTGCGGGGAGCGGTGTGGAATATGTTGGCTGGCTGGCGGTCTTTGGAGGGTTTGGGGGAGGAGTTGTGGCGGGGCTTTTCTGTACGGGCGTTGTGGGGTTCGGGTTCGTGTTCGGGTTCGGCGCCCGTTTCTGGGGTAGTATGTTGCGTGTCGCCTTCGGCTTCGGGGAGGAGTGTTGATGGTAGTGAGGGAGCTGGAGGGGCTGGAGTTGACGGCTGGGAGGGGTCGGAGGGGGTGTAGGGTTGGGGCTGTTCGGCATCCAGGAGTTTGTTGGGGTCGGCGGCAGGAGAAGCTGATGCTTCGGCGTCTGCTGCAACCGCCGCGGCTGCGCGAGAGGATTTCTTGACGACCTTCTTCTTCTTCTTTTTCTTGGTCTTCCGTTTTGTGGTGCCCGTTTGCGGGTCCTGGTATGCCGTGGTTGGGTCATAGTAGCCTTGGAGGAGGTTGGCGTCCGCATCTTCCAACTCGTCTTCGGCATCGTCCTCATCGTAATGACCAACCACGCTACACCGCAGGGTTGCGGTGCCGGAAACCGTACCGGCGTCTTTGGTCGGGATTCGCCATTCAAGCACCTCACTCCCCGGAGTATACAAGGCCTCTCCGCGGCTGGCTTGCATCTCTGTGATATTCCGGACCGACTTGGGAATGGGGACTGTAACGATGACCTCTTCCAAGGCAGGCGCCGTGGAGTTCCCGCCACCTCCCAGGAACGAAGGGGTCGATGACCCCGACCCACTGCGCCCAACTCCGGGCCGGTTGGCGGATGTGTAGCCCGGAAAGTTGGTGTTCAGAATCAGGCGCACTTCGAACTCGGCGCCTGTTGGACCGAGAGACTTGCGAACATCCACGATAGCCGGCAGGAAAAGCTTCTCCATGTGGGTGGGAGGTTGGTCGAGGTTGGGGTCAAGCGGTAGGAGATCCACCTCATACCCGGCGAGAATGAAACGTCCGTCCGGTGGAACAAAACTGAGCTCCCCCGGCCGTTCCCGCCATCGCGCTAATCGCACACAGGGGTGGAAAACAGGAAGCTCCAGCTTCTGCCCCAAGGCTTTCTGGCCGCCGGGCGCCGTTAGGGAGAGAAGGAGATCTGGGACACCGGAGACCTTTGCAGTAAAGGCGATGGTGCCGGAGGCCAAAGCTGATAGCAGACGACCGGAAGGGGCGATAGTGACCGACAAGGACTCGATTATGTCAACATATATCTCGTTCGAGGTATGACGAACACCGGATTTCCGCCAAGGTATCGCGGGACCTTGTGCTGCGGCGGCGGACGACAAAGATTGCTTCAATGCGTTGGGCTGGCCGAGGATTGGCGTGGATGAACTATTTTGACAGGACCACGAGGGTTAGTATAATTGACTCAGAGCGCCGTATGCGTAAGTGGCGGGGTCATCGACAAGGTATAGTTACTCACCCAGCCAACCCAACCCCGCCCAAGAGTTTCCCCATCCATCCTGGCATTTCCACCACCTCCTGCAACATATTGGGCTCGGTGTTGCACACGATGCCGCCATCGCACATCTCGTAAAGTAGCTGTGCGACCACATCGTAGTTGGCCTGTAGCTTTGTTGAGAGCAATGGCGCCCCAACAAACTCCTCGAGGACATCGACGACTCGATGTAGAAACTCTAGCACCAGCAGCGATTCCGAGTCAACCTCGGAGACTGCGAGGAAGGTGAGATTCGACTGGACGATGGAGAAGACGGTCACCGGTGGAATCGCACCGGGCAGGTACAGCACTGAGGGGCGAGGGGCCGCATGGGCGAGAAAGAGAGAGCGGATTACTGGTGCGGAGGGCGGACGGGAGCGGTAGACCTGCTCGACGATCGGATTGCTGAAGGACAGACGTCAGTAGCTGTGGGGGGAAAGAAGAGTGTTGGAGAAACAGACGTCTGCTCATCGTAGATGTAAAGCGCATCGACTTGGCCGCTCATGATGGCGACCTAACTCGACGGGGGCTGGGGAATGGGAGGGGGAGGGGGGGAGAGGGCGGTCATGGTCCGTCCGGGCGTGATGGTCGGGGAAGGGAAATGAGGCCATCCGCCTCCAAATCGCCCGCGTTCTGCCGTCCACCTCCGCCTTGTCCATCGGATGAATCCGATTGATTCCCGTCTCGGGGATTTCCATGCTCGATGGATTGAGCTTGTATACAGCAGTCCAAGTTATCTATTGTTCTCCGTTTATTCATAATCTCTTTCGGACTTCATACTTCTCCTTGCCGCTCTCGCTCAACATGCCTTCCTCCTCGAATGAGACTGAGCGCTGGGATGTTCAGCCCAAGGATGCAAAGCGCATGCTCGCCGAAGAATCCTACGATGACTGTCTATCCTGCCGCATTACAGGTTGGTTTTCTCTCCGTCTGCCCCAACTCGCTTGAAAGCCCCGGTGGTTAAGCCTCAAGGAACACAGGATCTGCCGCATTTATCGGCCTCGGTGTCTACAGCTACTGGACGGGCATGAGCAACCTCAGGAAGCAAGAGAAGACAATTATGCAAAGCGCTACCAAGTACAAGATGGGATCTCGACGTCTCGGCATTGCGACTATTTCCGCAACCCTGGTCGGCATGGGCATCTGGAGGGCTTTCAACTAATACTCAAATGAATTTTGTGATTCAGATTCCACTCAGGGCGTTTTGTATATTAGCTCAAATGATCGAAAATACTGCATGATTGAGAAGGGTCACTTGTGAATGAGTGCATGAAATGTTTATATGATTAGCATTGACACGAGCTGCCTCGCCGGGTATCGCCAAAGCCTGTTAACCTCTATAAATTGGATGATTCTGAATCAAAAAGGAAGAGAAATGAAGGGTGGATAAAAGTGGATGTGAAGAAAGGAAGCACAGTGGAGGATAGGATGAGCGTGAAAACGGAAGTGAAAACAAAAAGAAAGATAAATGACCGTGGCCTGAAGACCGCATGCAATACTCCCACAAATGCACCAGGATAAACAAAAAAAATGGATCAATGTACTAATAACCGCTGCGTAACCATAGGAATATGAACTTCGTCTGATCGTCGATACAATATTCTTTCAGGTGAAGCGGCCTCGCTTGCCGCCGCCAAACAAGTCTCGATTCCCGAGGCCGGACAAGTCGAAGAAATCCGGCACTGCGAGCTTGCGTTTCGAGCCAAGTCCGACGGAGGACTCGCGAGTGGATGATCGAGGGTTGGGTCGTGAAAAGTTGTTATGACGGGTTTGCTGCCGGGCATTTCGAGGCAGTACTGAGACGCTGACGGGCGCGCCGTCTTGAGACAAGGGTGTTGAACTATCCGAAGCTTGCATATCCATATCTTGCTCTGGTGGGAAGGCTGGTCCGGCAGTGAAAGTAAAGATTGTAGGTCTGTCGAAGGTACTAGGTTCGGACGACGGAGGGGAGGACGGGGGTGATGAAGCCTGGGGTGGCGGGGCGCTCGGCTCGTCGACCGATGGAGATGCTGACTTGGATGCTTGTCGAGTCGATTCAGATTCGGGCTGTGCCTTGCGAGTTGCAGCAGAAGTTGTGCCTCTGGTTTGTTTCTCAACCTCGTCGTCGTCGCTATGGGCACCGATGCCGTCGCTCCGTTCTGTGGCCCACTGTCGAACCTTCCAGCCCTCTCCATCACCCAACCCGAGGTTTTCCCGATCTAGAAAGTGCAATAGGTCCTCAATTGCTTCTTGATAGCCTGCTTGCTTGGCCTGAGCTTGTTCGTAAACGGCATTCTTGTAAAGGTTGGTGACCGAGAGGGCAGCCGCCTTGAACGATTGAAGAAGCTGCTCAGGGGGCTGCGGGCGGGGTGTCGATTTCGGCAACGAAGTGTTCAAAGATCTCATCGAGTCCATAATGAAGTGGACTGCAGCAAAAGAAGTAGCGTTGCAGGAAACTTGAGACAAAGTCTTAGAGACGGCGACGTCGTCACAACCGCCACTAGGAGGGGTGAATTGAACCGTGCGTTGGCTGCCAACAGGGAGCGGGCAATTACTCGAAAGGGTCAGGAGGAGCCGGCAATATCAGAATATTTCAGAGATATGTTCACAAAGGGTGACAGTACAAGTAAGGACGAAGTAGATAAGGAGGAAAGAAAGGGAGTGGGAGAGTGAAGTAGACACACGATGTTGACTCAAGGATGATTCGATCGGGAGAATGTTGGCGCAGCTGATCCTTCTTTGCGTCTGACCGGGTAACGTGACCCACAGCGGGGAAACTTGTTTTCCGCTCTGCTCTTCTGGGCAAGCGCCTTATCCTGAGTGTACAGTACTGCCAGCGTGCCCTGCAGTACGGGCTACGGAGGGACGACCTCCTCCTCCTCCTCCTCCCGAGTCCCGATTTTTCCCCTCTTTCCTCCCCTGCTGACTCACTTCTTACTCACCTTAAGCTTGCGCGTCTCCCCGGCCAATCAGCGCGTCAATGGGCCGCGCTTCGCCGGCGAATTTCCATTTGCCATCCCGGCGCGACTGCGAGGCGGTACTTCTTTCGTCCTTTCATCATCCTCCGTCACTACAATTGTTTTTTACTCTATCTTTGTCCTCCATCCTTCAAAGACAAATCGTGTGACCAGGCTTGTCCTCACTTATTTCACACTCAAAGGAGTGCCAATCTTCTCCGATCAGCTCACTCCCTCCATACTAGTCTGATTGTATACTATCAGATCGCGTTTCTCCCGATATAGTTGAACTTGCCTGCGCAAGGTGCGCTTTGGAAAGTCATGGCTCCTTCACACATTCCGACTTCCGACCCGCCGTCACAGGCAGACACCCCAATGACAGATGCGGCTGCAGAGCCCATCACGTCGGTGCCAGTTGATAGACCAGACGCGCAAATGACGGTAAGTGCGCGCATTCATGCCATGAACAATACCTGTTAAATCATGTTATATATCCTCTAAGGACGCTTTCGCTAATCATCAGGGCGTTCTCGAACTTTTAGGACACTCCCGACTACACGGTACTAACCCTCCGATGTTGATCACTGCTATCACGCATATTCGGGCTAACGGGCGCGCAATAGGATACTGATACGAACCCCAACACCACGGCGAGCAGTGTTGCAGGCGACGCACCGCCTTTGGATGGGCGGAGACGACGATCCGAAGCTTTTCACATGAGAAAGAGTATCCTGGGTAAAAAGCACGGTCGCTTGGACGAGTCAATGGTAGGTGGATATGCTACATATCCATGCACTAGCGGCCACTCATTGTGTGTTATAGGAAGATGATTCTATCCGTCGTTTTCGCTACCTCCTCGGCCTCACCGATCTATTCCGTCATTTCATAGAAACAAATCCCAACCCGCGAATTAAAGAGATCATGGCGGAGATCGACCGGCAAAATGAAGAAGAGGAAGCAAAAGCTAAGAAGAAGGGATCGGCTCGCTCTGGTGGTGCGAGCGCCGACAGACGTCGCAGAACAGAACAAGAAGAAGATGCCGAACTTCTCAAAGACGAAAGGAGTGGCGGCGAAACGGGCACCGTTTTCCGGGAATCCCCGCCCTTCATCAAGGGAGAGATGCGCGACTATCAGATTGCCGGCCTGAACTGGCTTGTTTCCCTCCATGAAAACGGCATCTCTGGTATTCTGGCGGATGAGATGGGTTTGGGCAAAACGTTACAGACCATTTCTTTCCTTGGCTACCTCCGACACGTTTGCGGAATCACTGGACCACACCTTGTCGCAGTCCCGAAATCAACACTTGACAATTGGAGGCGAGAGTTTGCAAAATGGACTCCTGAGGTGAATGTCCTTGTTTTGCAGGGTGACAAGGAAGAGCGGCATCGCTTGATCAACGAGCGCCTTCTGGACGAGAACTTCGACGTTTGTATCACCAGTTATGAAATGGTTCTTCGCGAGAAGAGTCACTTGAAGAAGTTTGCTTGGGAGTACATCATCATCGATGAGGCTCATCGTATCAAGAACGAAGAGTCTTCACTGGCACAGATCATTCGTGTCTTCCATTCTAGGAATCGACTGTTGATTACTGGTACTCCTCTGCAGAACAACCTGCACGAACTCTGGGCTCTCTTGAACTTCTTGCTACCGGATGTCTTTGGTGATTCGGAGGCTTTTGATCAATGGTTCTCCAGTCAGGATGCTGACCAGGACACTGTGGTGCAACAACTCCACCGCGTTTTGCGGCCTTTCCTGCTGCGCCGTGTCAAGAACGACGTGGAGAAGAGCCTGCTTCCTAAGAAGGAAATCAACCTATACGTACCCATGTCAGAGATGCAAGTCAAATGGTACCAGAAAATCTTGGAGAAGGACATCGACGCGGTGAATGGTGCTGCCGGCAAGCGCGAATCGAAGACTCGTTTGCTAAATATTGTCATGCAATTGCGCAAGTGTTGCAATCATCCGTACCTTTTCGAAGGCGCCGAGCCAGGTCCTCCATACACAACCGATGAGCATCTTGTGGACAATGCGGGAAAGATGGTAATCCTTGATAAGGTTCTGGCGCGCATGAAGAAGCAGGGCAGTCGCGTGCTCATTTTCTCCCAGATGAGTCGTGTTCTTGACATCCTGGAAGATTACTGCGTATTCCGAGAGTACAAATATTGCCGCATTGACGGTACGACCGCTCATGAGGATCGAATCGCCGCCATTGACGAGTATAACAAGCCTGACTCAGAAAAATTCATCTTCCTTCTTACAACCAGAGCAGGCGGATTGGGAATCAACCTGACAACCGCCGACATCGTGGTCCTTTACGACAGTGATTGGAATCCCCAGGCGGATCTGCAGGCCATGGATCGTGCTCATCGTATCGGTCAGACCAAGCAGGTTGTTGTATTCCGATTCATCACAGAAAATGCCATTGAGGAAAAAGTTCTAGAGCGTGCTGCGCAGAAATTGCGGTTGGACCAACTCGTTATTCAACAAGGGCGTGCCCAGCAGCAAACCAAGAATGCTGCTTCGAAAGACGAGCTCCTTGGCATGATTCAGCATGGAGCTGCCAACGTCTTCACCCAGAAAGGCGCAACGGGGTCTTTGTCTACGGAGAACAAATTGTCGGAAGATGACATCGATGCTATCCTGCGCAAGGGTGAAGAAAGAACCGCGGAGCTCAACAAGAAGTACGAAAAGCTTGGAATCGACGACCTCCAGAAGTTTAGTTCGGAGAGTGCATACGAGTGGAATGGTCAAGATTTCGCCGATCGCAAGAAAGACATCGGAATCAACTGGATTAACCCAGCCAAGCGCGAGCGAAAGGAGCAGTTCTACTCTATCGACAAGTACTATCGTCAAGCTTTGGCCACCGGTGGCAGAACAGCTGATCCTAAACCGAAGGTTCCGCGAGCGCCCAAGCAAATTGCCGTCCATGATTGGCAATTCTTCCCCCCTGGGCTTCAAGAGCTTCAGGAGAAGGAAACGGCGTACTTCCACAAAGAGATTGGCTATAAGGTTCCTCTATCGGACGGTCCTGATGAAGAGCTCAGTGAGCGTGAAGCCGAGCGTGATCTGGAGCAACAAGAGATAGACAATGCCGTGCCGTTGACGGAAGAGGAGCAGGCACAAAAGGCAAAGATGTCCGAAGAAGGCTTCTCTACCTGGAACCGCCGTGATTTCCAGCAGTTTGTCAATGGCTCAGCCAAATTCGGTCGCACTGATTATGCCGGCATTGCTACCGAGGTTGATAGCAAGGAGCCGGACGAAATCGAGGAGTACGCTCAAGTATTCTGGGAACGATACACCGAAATTCAAGATTATCCTAAGTATCTTCGCGTCATCGATCAAGGCGAGGAAAAGCTTCGCAAGATGAACCATCAGCGCAAGATGTTGCGCAAGAAGATGGAGATGTACCGCGTGCCCCTTCAACAGCTCAAGATCAACTACACGGTCTCGACTACCAATAAGAAAGTCTATACAGAAGAAGAGGATCGATTCTTGTTGGTTATGCTAGACAAGTATGGGGTCGATGGCGAAGGTCTATATGAGAAAATCCGCGACGAGATTCGCGAGTCTCCCCTCTTCCGCTTCGACTGGTTCTTTCTTAGCCGGACACCTGTCGAAATCGGGCGTCGGTGCACCACACTATTGAACACTGTCGCTAAGGAGTTCGAGACCGCTGAAGACGGAAAGGCGAATGGTGAAGGTGGCAAAGGTCGCGGACGTGATCGGGACGAAGAGGAGGTTGAGAATGAAGAAGAGGCCCCTGCAAAGAAGAAAACCAAGGGTGGTGCAGTTGTAAGTCATAACTTCTTATTGATAACTTCTGCATAGTTCTTACTGACGCTCCTCGCAGAACAAGCAGGTGAAGGCTGTCAAGGGTGGCAGCAAAGCAAACTCAGCCTCCACGTCACGAGCTGCCAGTGTTTCGTCCAACGCCGCCTCGAAATCGAAAAGCCGGAAGAAGTGATTTCTCTTAGCCTGTGCACGGTCTCGGTATCAAATGACTAAGATTTATGACTTTTCTGTGAACTGTTTGGGAAGTCTTGACAGAGGGTTGGGGATGGGATTTGTTGGTTCATTATGTTTCATATATGCTAGGTTGGGCGTTGGCAAATAGATGTTACTGTAGTCTATAATGTTACTTTTCCATACTTCCCACCTCGAGTCTCTGTGGCATGTAGATCAAGGTGGGGGTCAGTGCGGATTCCTCAATCCCATGCAGTCTTCTTCCTTTATTTATCATTCCTTGAGGATGATCATCATCCAAGACGAGCAGCAGTAGAAAGAGCACAGGAGAGAGTCTCAGCCGTCTAGTTACCGCAGAAAGCAATCTAACCCGTTTTGCCGGTTTCCACCGCCCGCCACTTACCGTACCCAAAACTAAGTCCCTGATAAGATAGGCGCATTATCTTTATTCCTTTCTGAACCGCGTCGATAGAACGCGTCCGCATGAATTAATTA